CATTTAGAATGTTTTTAGAGCATAAACAGTAGTGTATAGGATTTCCTGATACTTGGAATACATCCAGATGCATTTGAGATATCAAAAAAGTACTCCAGAGTGTTGTTCAGCATGGGGGTGAGTAGAAAATGAAGGCTAATCATGTTTTGGGTGTACTATTCCTTTAATGTTGGGACGGGTGTTAAATGAGCACATGTTAAATAAAACGGAGTGCTGAAACAATAACATGGAACTCATCATTCTAGAATAAACGGACAAGTTTATTACACATAGATTAATTAATTCATCGTATATGCACTGCCAGTTTTATTTTACGCATATTATTTCATAAATACCCCATTAGATTTTGAAAATTCCCAAGCTTTAAATTAAGCAGTTTTATTGTTTATTGACTGGCCTATTAGTGTTAAAAAAGACGTTCATACCTTATATTTAAAGTTTTACAGAGTGCTAGGGGGGTTTAGAAAGAACACGATACATTGCTTTTAATTGTTTTTGACAAGTAAAAACGAAGAGTGAATCTGTTTAATCCTCCTGGGCCAACACTAGGTGGCAGTAGATCAAACTTTGCAGCTAAAGCTTGACATCTGAGGGATCTCTTCATCAGTTTTGCTCCTCCAGAGATTGAAAGCTTTGCCCATTATTACTTGCAAAACCACTCAGTGCTTTTGGAAGTTGAATATCTCTTACAATTAGTTAAGCCTTACCAAACATTTTCAATAACACTGTCTTGACGTTGACAAAGTTCAGCTCTGATAAAATACCTATATGCTGATTTTATCTGTTATTTTCTGTTTTGTCTGCCTTAATGTAAGATTATGCATTTCCTGTTGTGTGAAAGCATCCAGCTGGCAGAGAGGTGATTTGTTATTTACCGTAACCTAAAAGTATTTTCAGTTGGTCATTCAAAACTCTTATTTCCGGTTTTGTTCATCTGTGTGCAGTCCATCACGCTAAGCTTTTCAACTCTGTTCTTTTTTCAAAGGGTTTATTGGTGACATGTGGAAAACTGTGGAAAAGTGGACAGTGGAAAACTGCAGGAGCCAGTATCTGGTTACATCACAGTCCTTGTCTCCAAGTACGAATGGCTCTATGACAAAACAAGAACATATAGATTTACCAATATATTCTTTACCAGACTTTAAAATCAAGTCTATAACTTCAGACCTGCGAAACATCTGTAACATGGGTCCCTGTCCTGAAGGCCCAGTGTGTTTCATTTCTCTCTGTTCTTTCTCTCTTCTTCTCTTTTCTTGTTCCTCCTCTTTCTCCCGCTTTAATCGCAGATACTCCTCACATGCCATCTTAGCTTCAAGCTGCAGACAGCGCTGCTCCTCATCAACAGAGACCGTTTTCTTAAAAAGAGGCATTATATACAGTATAATATATATATATAAAACGTCTAAATTAATATGTAGTAGTGGAACATAAATGCATGCCACGTCCCTTATTTTTTATTTTGTAAAAACGTCTGAAACCCATTACATTCCTTTAAATGATCAACTCAGGTGCTCCATATAAAATCTTATTGACATTTTTATATGTAATGTGACAGATTGTGAAACTGAAACAACAATATGATCTCTTTATGAAAGGAGGAACCAGAAGTATGAGCAGCTTTCTGTCTACGTTTACTTCATCCAAACTCATGGCTGCTTTGCCTCTCTACCTCTCTCCTTTTGTCCTGCAGGTGAAGCAGCTCCTGATGCCAGTCTTCATGTTGCTGGATCTCCTCCTGAGTTTTATGCGGCAGGTAAAACATGGCCTCTTTCCTGTACGACAGCCGCCAACTGAGCTTCATCCACACCTGTTAGTTCAGAAGAAAAAGTCTTAAGGATAAAACTGTCATAAAAAACTGAACAATGACCAACTGGAGTTAGGTAGGATAAATCAGTAATCAGATCATTATTTTGCATTTCTTACTCTTTGGAAAGTTTGGTGATCGTATTGATCCCGGCCTCCATGAGGACCTCCTGTCTTTCGCGGATAATCCTCCAAAGCTTTGACCTCAGGAAGGTTTCTGTTGGAGGGTTTGATCTTAAAGAAAACATAAATCAAGCCCTTCATCCCTTTTTCCATATTAGAATAAATAACGGAGAAAAAAGCTTCATGGTGTAAAAGGAAGGGAATCTAACCTTGAGAGTGGTTGCTGCAGGCAGTTTGGGGTTTGTTTTAACATTAAGGCTCCTGTTTTCAATCTTCTTCTTATAAGCAGTAACCTCCTGCTGAGTCTGCTCCTCCTTTAAATATTCCTCAAAGCTAATAGGAACAAAGAAGCACAAACTTTAATTCTTAATATTTTCATTTTACTACCGGTAACCTTGCCGATCTATAAATCCTGCATACTGCTCAGTGCTTTTGAATTGCTCTAATTCTCAGCATTGTTTGATACCCTTAAACCCATTTTTCAAAATCTGCACACTCTGCATAAAGAAAATACCGTGCGTTTTAAACTATTTTACTAAATAAAAGTATGCAGAAACGTAACGTTATAATAGAGGGTGGTGTTGTGGTCTAAACATGCATGTTTGGTGAAACTTTTTACCGTAAACGCTGCTCTTCCTTTAAAGTGTTTATTGACGCTTCCACCTCTGACTTGATTTCTTGAAGTTTTTCAATCACTAGAAAAACAAGTGAAATTGCAGAAACATTTTCAACAAACTGTCCTAAAAGACCAACTTTTATCTTTCTTATTATGCTTATTTCATTTTCAATATCATTCAACATATCACCTAAGAAAGAATGTTAAGTATATAAATTCTAATAATGAAGAAGTAAACTTAAGTTTTTCCAGCTAATGAAAACATCAACCTGGTTGAAGGTTCTTTAGCATAAAAGTAAAGAAATTTTTGCATACATTCAGGAGTCGGCTTAATGCCGGTTAGATGTCTTTGAAATTTCTTTACACCATCACTGATCTTCACCAGTTGCTTCTGAAGGCTCACCTCTAAAGAAAAGGAAGAACATTACGTTTGAAGTAACACTGTAACATGTAGCAACACTCTAGCTTCTTTACCCCATTTCTGCAGGTTTCAGGCAACAATAATAACTTTTTAAAATAGTAACATGTGTTTATTGCCTTAAAGGGGAACGCCGTTATTTTTTACATTGGGCCCTTGATTTTACGTTATTACATCATGTTCTACTCACACATATGAAGTTTGTGTCATCTGGAGCCGTTCTGAAGATATTCCATTAGGTTATATCCAAGCAACGTCTTCCTATGGGCAACGAGTTGAAGGCACAAACTAAACAGTTCATAATTTATTCTTTATGGTACGCCAGCATTCATAACATGTAGGCGAATCACTGTCCCCCAGACATCCGCGGTTATATCTTTTATATTTATATCTTTTAAAAACAAAGCGGAGTGTGTATGACGTCATCCGTGCGCCGGACTGGAGACATAACAGGCAGCCCGGGCCACAGGCGGCTACGCTCTACCTCTTCTATTCATTTGGCTAGCTAATCTGTATCGTTCAGTTCCATTTCAAAAGCGAGATCATCTGTGGTAGTAGCACTAGACATCTTCCAGGCATGTGAGTAAAACTAGCAGCCGTTCAGACGTCATACACACTCCGCTTTGTTTTTAAAAGATATAAATATAAAAAATATAACCGCGGATGTCTGGGGACAGTGATTCGCCTACATTTAATGAATTCTGGCGTACCATAAATGATAAATTATGAACTGTTTAGTTTGTGCCTTCAAGTCGTTGCCCATAGGAAGACGTTGCTTGGATATAACCTAACGAAATATCTTCAGAACAGCTCCAAATGACACAAAACTCATATGGGTGAGTAGAACATGATGTAATAACTTAAAATCAAGGGCCCAATGTAAAATAAACCGGTGTTCCCCATTAAGGTGAGCTTAAAACCTTCAAAAAACCTGCACATATACAACTAACCATAATGAAGGAGATTACAGCAGATTACGCAACTGCAACGTTACAGTTTTAAAAACTATCAACATGGTTATGGAGTAGATTACAGGGCAACTCTCAAGAAAAAAAAAGGATTTGGATAAAATATATGAATGTTAAAAGACTGTTGTTAGCAAAGCTCCAAAGAGAGAGACACAGTCTTAAATCAGAGGCAATCTGTCCTTTAGCTGAAGCTGTAGAAATGAAAGATGGTTAAGGTTCAGACATCAACCTGATGGAAACTATATGGTTCACCTTGAAGGAATCCTACTATCATTAAAAACATGTCAATTCGTTCTGGCCTCTCTTCGTCAGGGCAATGGCTAAATAGAATAGAACTGAATAGAATAGAATTCAACTTTAAGATCATTACACTTTCACAAGCACAAAGCAATGGAATGTAGTTTGCATCTATCCAGAAGTGCTACACAGGATATAAATATTTATTTACCTGTGTATAGAGACTATTTATGCATGGACCATAACTGGTATATATAAACAGAGGGTAATTGTAGGAAGCTATGAAATAAATATATATGAAAACTATATACAGAATATACAGGAAATGTACTGTGTAAATGTTTTTCAGTCTGGTCTAGTGTACAGATACTGATCATGTGACCACTTACCTGCACGAACTGAGCAGCGGTCTTTGATTGTCTTTTTAACTGACATTAGAGCAGACTGACAAACATTCAGGCTGAAACGCGTTGGCATGTTTTAATCACAGTAGCCATGTACCAGTAAAGCAGTGGTCTCCAACCTTTTTAAGCCCAAGATCCCCAACCTCCACTTTGGTGGGAAGCAAGATCTACCTGAGGCGCTGCAATAAAAGAAGCCCAGATTCTACTTCAAACATGAAGCCTTTTATTTACTAATGAACTCATAAAACAACTGTTTTTGAATTACATAAAATGTTTATGGTCCAACGGGACAAATTAATGCAAAAAAGAAAACATTGTAAGGAGCAAATCAAACTGGCCATAGTTTCATATCAAATTCAATTAATATCAACACCAAAGTAAAGCATGGCATATCAGGTGTTATGCTTATCTTCTGGAGCTTCACTAGTCACATTAATATCAACAATTTACCAAATAGAACTGTATTGTTAACACAATTTTCAATGCAACTTTAGATATAGCTTTATGTCCAACACAAAAAAATAAAGGCATGGCCTATTTCCTTTTGTGGCTGCTTTGCCTCTCTACCTCTCTCCTTTTGTCCTG